ATTTTGCCCTTAGCCTAGTTTGTGGACGAGAAATTCAGACATGCAGCGGCTCTTTAATGGGAAGTCCGCATTCTCCTCCTCAGTCCTACTCCTACCTTTGAGGATGTTTGTTGGACGTACAGACCTTTAACTTTTTGTTCCCAAAACAGAATGGGGTAAGGAACTGTTCTCATCAACCGAATTGAATGATGCCACTTAATATGATCGGTGGATTACTTATTCAGTGAAGCTCAGTACCACTTTTTCAGTGACAATTTAGTGTCACATCTATATTTATGCAAAGTGTCTTGTTTGTTTAATTTGTCATGTGCTATTTATTTAAATTTCTTCTACCATCACGTGATAAGTGAAATTGACACTGAATTTGACGGCACCGAATAGTGGCACAGTGGATCCCAACTGGAAACTCTGGTACCGCTACTTGTATTGCCAGAGAAGTTACTGGTATTGCATGAGTTGACTTGTATTGAGAAGTCGGACACAAGTTAATACCCAATAAAAAATGCAAAAGCTTCAAGATGCAACTACCATCTTGGCTCTTGCAAACCATCGAAACCAGTAAGATCTTGGCTTCTTTTAGTTGAACCTGCGAATAAATTATGCGTCTACATCTCATCAAGAACGTGTGAACGCAACTCAACTAGTAAGATTCTTCCTTTGATTGATTGAACCCGTCAAATTTCAAGGAAACAACTGCCCAATTGCTTGGAGAGTTTTGTTTTGGCGGCCTTCACTAACTCCTAACAAGAAACTGAGAGAATCCTTGGACTTGATCATGTTCTTATTTGGTGATGCCGTATGAGGACGTCACTGTCTAGAAGACACTGCTGACTGACTTGGCACTCGCTTCTTCTTTTTCCTCCATGCATTCTCCCTCATTGTTATCTCTGAACTTTTCTTCCCCGTAACAGTCGACGAAGAAGTACAAGAAGATAAAGTAGAAGAAATTGACTAAACTCAGAAGGCAAAGTACCCAATAATAGTAATCGTAGTGACCTTCGTTAAGGTTATTCGAAACCCAACTAGGTTTTCCATCAGTTTTAGAAGCATGATCCACTATCAGCACAATCAGACTTGCTACCAAGTTCCCAACAGCCAGTCCCAATGCAAAAAGGGCCACTCCAATGCTAGCCATACTCTTTGGGAAATGAGCATAATAGAACTCTATCTGCCCAATAGCATTGAACGCCTCGGCTAATCCAGTCATGCAATACTGTGGTGCTAACCAAAAAACAGACATGTTCACTACTGATAGTGGATTTTCTGCTAATCCTAAGCTAATTGCTCTGTTTCTTCTGGTTCTTTCTACTGCCGCTGCCATTCCTGTGGCCAGACAAGAAAGAAATAGGCCAGTTCCGATCCTCAGCTCGAAGCTAAGGCCACGTTTGTGCTTCGTGTACTTGGCTAGCCAAGGAACGAGTATTCGATCATAGATAGCCACCCATATTCCCATTGTTAGGACTGCAAAGACGTAGAGCCAGGCTGGTGGAATTTTGAAGTTTCCAATTATGCGCCTATCCATGGTGCCTGCTTGGAGCAAAGGGAAAGAATTCTGGCTAATAGTTACAGCAATCATGATGCTAGTAGACCAGATTGGTAGTACTTTGATAAGGACTTTCAAGTTTTCTACTTGTTCAACCGTACAGGCTTTCCAGGGATCCCAAATTGATCCGTCAGCCTCCAAACCTCCATCGAGGTTTCTCGCAATGCAAGCTTTATTGAAGAACCTAAGGATAAGACAGAAATACATGTTAGGTTGCTGTCGACAGCACCATGACAACCATGTACTAATATATCTTTCATGGAATGCAATGTCGTAAACTTTAATAACCAACGCGTAAGTTTTCATGTCTAATTTTGTACCTTAGTTTTTCAGTGGGAGAAACGAGATTAGACCCCTTCTCATGATGATACCCTCCATCTGAATTTTTTGGTGGCAAAGCTAGGTGTTTGTTTTTCCAGGCCACGACTAATACTTGAGCAAAACCAGTCATCAAGCTCTTGTTCGCTTTGACCACGACATATAGTTTAGAACCCAAGAAAAACGTAATAGTTGAAACCAACATGAGGGCCACAGGAACTCCAAATCCCAAAACCCACCCAAGTTTATTTTGAATATACACTATGACTATGATTGCAATGATGACCGATATTGCCACAGAAGCATAATACCAGTTGAAAAAGCTCTGTAAGATTCTCTGATTTTTTGGGTTCTCAGGGTTATCAAATTGATCTGCCCCAAAGGCTAAAGAGCATGGCCTAATGCCTCCAGCTCCAATGGACATCAGTGCAAAAGCTGAAAAGAGGAGAGCAAGCTGGCCTGCGTTTGGTTTGGCACAATTGTCTGGATAGTGCGCGCAATGAGGAGGCCTTGCTTCTGGAAGTAAGGCTGTTAACCACAAAGCAGCTTGTCCCTACAAACAATTCCCGCAACATTTAGTGGAAATGTGAAAATAGATTCCTGAAGGCTGAAATGGCCAAAAAATTACTTCTATGAACAAAGATTATGAACTTGAATCTAGGGGAAATGTTGAAGCAGTCGAATACTTGAAAGAAGTTCTTACAAGGAGGCTAACAACTGATCCGAGCGCAATCACGCGAAATCTACCCAAGTAAGAATCAGAAAGAAAAGCTCCAAAGGTAGGCATGAAATTTGAAATGGCTGCCCACCAAAACAAAATGCTTGCACCTGTGGCATTATCGAAGTGATACTCGCCTGTCAGGTATAAGATCATGTTTATGTGAAGGCCAACACTTGCAACTCTCTCAAATGCCTCATTTGCTGCACATTTGGAAACATGACCGACTTATTAGAAATCCTTGCTCAAGGTTCGTCCAGTAAATAGTCCAGGAACTTGTTGAGGCAAGTGTGCAAGGAAACAAACGTTTTATTTCTAAAACTCGACGTTACCTATGATAAACGGCATGGTAATAAGGCCTCCTTTCCGCTTTGACACCTGTTGGACGGTCGTCATGGAATCTGAACAAAGCTCCATTTTCCCCTCAACTTCAACTAGACTTAACTAGCGCAGAAATTTAAATTTTTCGTTATCTGTTAGCATTTGTAGATAACAGGGTTAAACTTTCTTGAGACTGAGTTGGAATAAATAGGAGCATGGAGTCACACTTTCAGTATCTTGATATCCTAAAGCATACCTTTACCGAAACTTGATAATGAGGCCATTGCATATGATGACAAAGACTGGGGGATTTGATCTCCCGGTGCTCTCAGGTATCAGTACACTTGATTTAAACCTGTAAAGATCGGTTGCTTCGTCGAATGATTCTAGAGCAATACATTGGTATCTCAGTTAACAAGACAAAACGAAACTTTGTTTCTTACAAAGTTTTTGTGGTTTTGATCTATCTTAATTTTGAGAGCGGCTCAAAGAGCTAGAAAACAAATCAAAGGCGTTACCTGGAGTACAGACCAAAAGTATAGAAATAGAATGCGAGACGGATCCCTTGCTAAGTCAGAAAAGTTGGGTGCTTAGATTGACGAGTTTTGCTATATCTCCGTCCATGTTTGTCTCATTGTCCCAATCCCAACTCATCATGAACACTGACAGGCTTGAATTTACATTTGACCTTCAGTTGAGTTACTTTGTCAATGCAAATAATCTTCTTTTTCTGTCCTGTCCTCTGTCAAATATTTGGTTGCCAAATGTATGTAATAATATCCTCTTAGATGGGATTTCTTTTTTACTGTTGAATTCAAAGATCAGATATGTTGGGACAAAAGAAAAGATAAAACTCTGCAGTTGATGCCGTTAGACAAAGTACAAACTATCTTCCTCTATCTTTGCTCCCAAGGTGGAGATTCTCAAACTATCTTCTTTTGGAGCAGCCAGAAATAATTTCTTATTCTTTCTTTTAAAATTTTCTAAGAATACGCACTTCTAACTCATTTGTTCGTCCTGGCAGTGAAGTTGAATGTATTTATCCTCAACTTCCTCACAGAATCATCCATAAGCTAAAAGCAGAATAAGTTTCCAGAAGCAGCTTTTCCTCTGTAATTGAGTTCTGCATTCAAAAGAAAATCAATCCAACCCCATAACTATATCTGAATGCCTGTTCCAGGCTGGTAGGAACAGGGTTCAAATCCCCTTGTTCTAATGTATTCATGATTTGCAAACTGACCTCTTGTTCTCAACAGCTTTTTTTTTTTACTATGGAGAAAATTGACTATTACAAATCTGTTGAAAAGATTGGAAGCATAATTTTGTTTTACCATGTTTGAAGTATTAAAAATCCGAGGACAGTTTTCCACAATTAGCTTCTTTAGCTTAAACTGAGTCAGAGGTAGAATTCAAAAGCAGTTACAAACATCTCTTTTAATTCACAAAAAAGAAAAAGAGTTAGAATAGCCAATTTTAAATTGTTGAAAACGAGTTCAATGTAAAAATGGTCACAATTTGTCCTTTCCACAAACAGAAAGAATGATCAAGTTCATTTCTTTTCTCCATCAACAAAGATCTGATTTGCTATATTGACGCTTCGAAAGTCACTTCATCTGAATTCCTTTCGCAGATAACGGCCTGAGTTAACTTCTTGATGGGAATAGGCGTCCCTTCCTTGACCAGACCGACAAGCTTTTAGGCTTTTCCTTTTGTTTTCCTAGTTTCCCACGACAAGAAGAGTGAAACATTGGATTCAAAAATGGGTTTTTGAGGGCATGCAGCTATGGCCGATTATATGGGAGAGTAAACTTCAAAGTTTGTTTTTTCCTGCTGCACCATTTTGCCTAATGGTTAGATCAAATCGTGTCTGCAAATTTAGTTGGATGTGCAATTAAGTTACTAGAAAAACAGAACGTGTTAGTATCCTGGGTTGCAATTGCAAATCATTAACAAATTCAAGGACGTAACTCCAAGGATGGATTGGTAATTTAGAAGGTGAGAAGAGACAGGAAGATCTATACTCATTACTCGAAAAACAAAGGAAAAAAATAATTTGAGATCGAATTTTGTAATAGGTATAACTTCTGTATTCCTCTTATAGATACAAGGGCAAAATATAGACAGCTTTGTTCATGGTCTAATAAAGGGTATTAGTACAAATTGATTCTAACTAGATATATACATTCAGAGGGCCACCTCTGTTTCAAATGTTTCTTATTCTAGAAAGAATGTAAATCATTTGCCAACAAGAAAAGAAAAAACAAATTAAGTAACAAAGAATATACTTTGGTTTTTAGCTCTCTTCAACCATCTCTTTTATCTGGCCATCCTAAACTTTGTCAATTTATCGGCATTGTCCTTCAGCTTAGTTCCCATGCGGGCCATGCCTGCCAAGAAGAACGTGTTCCATCTCTGTAAAAAGCTTCAACACATGCACTCTATGAAGTGCTCAATTTTTTAATTTTTGGTTCTTTCTTGCATATCATATAACTTGCTGGCATGGACAATGATTGGAGTTTCAGGTTACATGATTAGCTGCTTCACCATGGGTGGGATTTTAGGGGGAAGATTGGGTTTTTTACCTGCACTTTGCCATCAGATGTCCCAATTACCAACATGTCTTCATTTCTAGTCAGCGCCATGGAAAGAACTTTAGCATTTGTACCAGCTTGAAGTGTTTCTACTTTACTGAGCTTCTTTTTACTCCAAATTTCCACTAGGCCTCCCTTGCACCCCAGATAGATAAGATCTGAGCTTACAGCCATTGAACGCACATCGGAGGTTGATGGCAGCGTCCCAACAACGCTTAAGTTTGAAGTGCTCCATATCTTTTGGTACAAATGGATTTTAAGGTTAAAGTGTTAGCATTAATACTTCATTAGCATATGTGCTCCCACTGTCACTGGACTACTAAAATGAAGAATCTTAGAAACAGCAAAAAATCATGTACTGGTACAATATTGCAATCTTTTCCATTCAAGTACCTTCACAGCAGCTCCATCCAAGGGAGAACTGGCTGAATACAGCAGCCCGTCATCTGCTTGCAATGCATGTACTGGGCTTGCTTTACTTAGTAATTTTCTAGAGCCACTTTGGATAGTGCTGACTGTCCCAGTCGCAAGATCAATTTCCTGTGAAGCAAAGAAATTGAGAAAAGAAAACAAGAGCACATGTGAGATTTTTGTTTATAGTGAAAGTGTATTCCAGAAACTAGTGGTACTCGTTTCTAGTACCTGAATGCTATTATCATGACAGCCACAATACAACTTTCCTTGCACCAGGGTTAAGCACTTCGCATATTTCTGTGGATTTAGCGATTTGGACGCTCCACTCCAAGAGTGCACCTGCCGTTGGAATAAAAGAAGTGCATTTCAGGTTATTTTTGCATTCTGTTTCAAATGTACCTGACACTATTGGTTCAAATATGAAGATGGAAACCAAGTGAAGTATAATCTTTAGGATGAAAAGTTCTTCATAGCACAGTTCTCAGTTTCATAAAGCGATCTAATTTCAACTGAATGCACTGATGATATAAGTTCGGAGGGCTAATAGACTTACCTTGATGCCAGCTCCTTGAGGAATGAAGCATGAGATACTGTTTGAAACTAGTAGATTGTTAACGTGATCCTTCATTTCATGAACTTGTTCACAGTGCATTACCTTGCCGCCAATGGCCCATACCTACAGGTAAAAATTGCCTAAAGTTTAAGCAGCGATAGTTCTTTGTCAATGACATTGACCTAAGAAATGTATCATTACCCTCACTGTCCGATCAAGTGAACCACTGTACAATCTCTCAACTGACTGCAGTATTGCAAGGCTAGTAACAGCTTTGGTGTGCTCCTGAGATTCCTGGACGAGATCCATATTTCCACTCTTCATTGCCCAAACCTTCATTGTTGAAAAAAAGAAATGCTATCGGACTCGAATGCAATAGGCTCATTTGGATTCACCACCATTTGTTAGTACTAATGTTGATCTCTTCGTTCATGAATTTAGCAAATGAAGTCATTGTAAAAGATTCATTGTCCAGTGATTCATCTTTCCATGGGGAATTGATGTCCAATTTTAGCATTCATTAGTTTCGAGATAATGGGATTGCAGTGTTTATTCTTCGGAGAAGTTATATCACAAGTCTGATTTACTTTCTGATGGACATTTCTGCACAGAAAAGCAGACCTCTCTATCACATCACATCCACAAATTGATGGTTTTATGCATTCAAAAGATCTTTAATTTCCTCCCACAAATAAGGTTCTTTTGAATAAAAATTTCAAGAATCTCACAGATTCTAACTGCCAACAGCAGATTGTATTCATATTTCTCCAGCTAAGGTACTATAATATAACATCACCCAATATCTCTGCTCATACTTGTATTGAAAACACGGAAAAAAAACTTAAGTTTTCTGATTTTTCGAATCTTTACATACTGGCCAAACAAACAACAAAGTTGAAGGAAACAAATTCACTAACTCACCTTTATTGTACCATCAGAATGACCAGAGAATATTTTGTCTTTGAAGCAGATAACTGATAGAACTTCTCCATTTATGCTACAATCTTCTGAAAGTAATTCTTTATGATTCCACATATCCTGCATCCAATGAACAAAATTAGGCATTTGTTTTGACCAGACACTGAAATTACTGCTACATTACTTACAGCACTGGACTCATGCTCCTCTGACAAAAGTTTTAGCATTTGGACTGCAAATGCTGAAGATTTTTTAAGTTCTCTCAAGCCCTTCAAGATATCCTTCATGTGAGCAGCCAGATCCTGAAGTCCCTCTGAAATTTGCGATGACTGTGATCAGAACTACATTATCTTTAACAAATGATCCAATCCAGATAGTAACCCTGGAAAGCAAATGATTACTGAGCAAAATGAAATACGTTTAGGATGTGCTGTTTTTTGGCTCCACATGTTTTGCCATGTATTTTTTCTTCTGAAATTTTAAGAACTTAACATATAAACCTCTAAGGTAATTTACCCTTATGAGGATTCATGCAAGAATCGCTTCTAAAAAATCCATAAAGATGCTGATGTTGTAAATATTTCTTTTCATGCACAATTATCGCTACTTTTTGCTGCATAATAATGTTGCTATGTAATTTGTCCACTAACCGGAATCACAAATGAAGCTGTTTAATGCAAGCATGGAAAGTAATTTGTCTTCATTATCCTTTGAAGACTTGAATATTGACACAAAACGCTTCATCAAGCATACTCGTGCTGCTCCTCGTACCCCTGTATCTGGAAGAATGGATAACATGTGCACAAGCCATGTAGCTGCTACAAGACATGCTGAAGATAGCTCTGCATATCTACTTCTTAAGCCCTCTGCTAGGGCCTCAAAGATTATACCAAATTCATGAGTGACTAGAACAAATGCCATCTTTTTCTCCCACTTCTCAGCAGAATTATCTTCCTCCTATACATTAAAAAAACCAAACAGAAGTATTGAGAAACTTAATGCTAGTGAGGCTGCAAGAGATTTTTTATTCCTTGGTATGATTAACAGAAAGGTACTAGGGGTCATAAATGGAGGACATATGTCTATTTATATGCATCAATACAAAATCCAATGCTGTAACTACAGAGAAATGCCTATGCATAGATGAAGCCAACCATATTTTCTTGAATCTCATCAGGAATGCTTCCAAGTTGATCTCTTTTCATCCTTTTATTTCTGTTTACTCTGGCACATTTAAGCAGGAAATCCCTTGCCAGGGCTTTTCCTGCATGGGAAAATCTTCCTTGCAGAGAAACAATTGTCTCAGCAGCAGCTATTTGAGCAGAACGACAATCAGGATTCTTGAGGCATGAAATCAAAGCATCTATTGCCTCTTCTCGATATATACTCATCTTTCTTGGTTCGACCTAAAGGTTATAAATGTAGCAGTTTAATAGCCAAGCTAAATCATCAAAGACATAAGCATGCATGTATAATTTTACAGACAAACTTGATAGAAACAGACAAGACATAGTGTTAGTACGTTGTGTAGAGAGAGAGAGAGTGAGAGAGAGAGAGAGAGAGAGGGACAATCTGAATTCTTGAGGCATGAATTCAAAACATCTATTGCCTCTTCTCAATGTATACTTGTCTTTCTTGGTTTGACCTAAAGGAACAAAGACATAATAAGCAAGTGTATTTAATAGGGAGAACATACCAGGAGATCAAGTTGGAGTAGAAGGCCAGCTACAACAGGGCATTGTTCCTGAGGAGCCGCCTGTAGATAGATGAGAAGCATGTGCATTGTGCTAAAAGTACCTTCATCCCTTATGATATGCAGAATCTGTTCATTAAATGTCCTTCTGGAGAAATTCCAAAACATCTATTCAGGTCTATGCTATGTTAAGTTACTAACTCAAATCAATAAAGCTAGGAAGATGTACCTCTCCAATTTGACTAATTCTGATAGGAACTGCACTATCTGATAGAAGTCTTCATCATTTGCCCCCACCAAGCTCTCTAAAATAGGACACAATTCAGCTTTATCAGCAATCATGTTCCTGCACTTTCCATCCTCCAGCATGCACCTCAACAAAATGACTATAGCTGAAATCTTTTCTTCTCTTACTTCAGCATCTAAGCTTCCCATTATGTACTCAATTCCGTTTTCAGATATCAAGTCCCTAGCAATTTCAGATGTCCGTACTTCCTCACCACTATTCAGCAGTTGACCAAGCAGTAAAACAGTAGCTTTTTTTTGTTTCATGCACATTTTCAGTAAATCCTCCTCTCTTGTCTTAAGAACGGTTAACAAAGGGTCAACTATGTCCATTTCAACAAGGCTAACTGCAGAAGGTCTTAATAGATAAACCAATACAACAGCCTCCAGCAATCCTCTCTTGAAAAGAGAAGCAATACATTCGACATCAGAATCAACTCTGGTTAGTGTTTGGATCACATTGTTATCTCTTAATCCTAGTTCAGACAGGAGGAAAACAGTAGCACTCAGGACTCGGGGATCAACAGAATTGAAAAGAATCTCCATAAAACTATTGATTACTGCAGGTTTTGACATCATATTTTGAACATCCATCTCGATTTGCGATTCCTGCCAGAACTGTTCAATTAGCAGAACTGCCATTTCTGAATCCTCCAGTACTTCTGATGTACAAAGGTTGGTAATTGCAACACGCAGCTCAGAAAGTTTTCCCTCAATGGTAGCTTGGCTTATGACACAATTTGGAGAAGCAGACCGTATCACTGGTACAAATTTTGGTTCATCTAGAGGCTGCAAAGTTTCAGATTGTCCAGGAACTGTATCAGAGTTTAGTTCTTGCCAACTTGCAATGAGACGTTTTAGCACATAATTTGTTTTGGGCAGCATGGTGCTTTGCAGCTTCTGACGTGTTATTGGGCAGGCAGAGTTCCCTCTATCAATCCACTCCTGGATTGCTCTTCGTTCATAAGTCTGACCAGTTTCAAGAGTCACTGGATCATAAAAAACGTGAGTGGTTATGGGACAGACAAAGTCCTTCGGGGGTGTAAGCTTCCCAGAACCAGGTTGATTGTCCATGTCTTCCATGAGAGGATCTGGATGACTGGAACATAAAGGAAAGTAAAGACAAGTTTGTAGAGAAGACATTAATAGTTGGGTGATTGCTTTTTGTATCACCTACCCACTTGATTCTGCATTATTTGTCTGCTTTTCTTTCCTTGTTTGGCTCTCCCTAGAGGCCCTAGAGTTGAACGATGCCACCTTTTCAATATTTTCCTACAAGACACAGGGTTTGTTGGAAAAAATAAAGGGATTAGCATAGGTAATTCAGTTCATGCAGAAAGTTTGTCTTTTACTAACAGTCACCTCTTCTTCTGTTTCAGATCCTGACAAGTAACACTTGCTCAAGTTGTCATTGGAGAAAGACTCCAGCTCAGAATCAAAGTTGAAATTTCTGGGTGATTTGGATTTTCTTGTTGATCCTTGCTTTGTGAGGACATTTGGAGAGACTCTTTCAGGATAAAATGATGGAAATGTGGAAAAGCTTTTTCCCCTGCTGCTGCTGTTGAACTCAACTGATTCATCTCCTTCAGCCCATATTGGCTGCATTACCATACAAGAACAACATTTGAAAATTTTCTCATGGGAAACTATAGCTATCAAACTACTAATTTATTTCAAAGTATTTCAGAATTAAAATGATACTGCACACATACATGTTGCAATTTGCATATAGTTGGAGAGATCCCTAAGAAAAAGCCAAAAACAGTGCTGGGTACATTGATGGAATTAGTTTTTATGCACACATTGAGATGTCACGGCTTAAATGGAAATGCATTTCGAAACTTCATACATTTTTACTACCACCCCAACTGATTTAATAGAACTAAGTGCAACTGTTCTGATGGCTGAATGGGAGTTTCATTTTCCCATATATATATATATATATATATATATATATATATATATATGTAAAAGTAGCTTTCCCTCTGCATCACAAATCCAGAGAGCTGAACAGGCGAATTCACATGCGCATTGAGAAGAGCCTATGCAATTTCATACTTTGGTCTATGTTGCAAAATAGAAACACATTCAAGAGTTTCAGACACTCTACATGTACATCTGCAAATCTAAAAAAAGTATGTGTATACATGTATACAGCGATGTATGAGTTAGAGCATATGTATGTAAATATACAGAAGACAGATGCTTATATTTCATATGTTACAGGTCTACATACTGCCTCTATAAATTAGAATTTTGATGCTTGTCTACGAATCATGTTCGATTGTTTCATGATACCACCAGGATAAAAGCTAGATATATTTGGAACTTGCAGAACTGAAGCCATGGTTGGTGTTTTGCAAATATATGCTTAATAAAGGGATGATGCCACTTCCACCAAGCAGAACAATAACAAAGAACTGCCAATAATTGCTCAAATCAAGTAAAAGGAATAGTGTCAACAAACTTGAACACAAAAATTTCAGGGCAGGTTCTTAAAAAAAGATAAAGAAGAAAGAAAGAAAGAATAAAATTATGTAGACAAGAGACATTACACTCGGGCTCTGAGTGATTGTCTACAGGACAATATCAGTTGTAGGCTTACCATTAGGACCATGAATGTGCATTTAAAAAAAAAAAAAGTAGTCAAGCTGATTACGTCCCAGCCTTTACTGAACCTTACTAATTGAAATACAAGTGCAGAAGTCAAGACTAGCTCTGAATCTTATTTTATTTCTCAATACCTTTTTCATTATTTTGTGTCCAGGTGTATTGCTCATGAAGTAAGATGAAAACCACCAACCGAAGGGAAAAACTAGGAATATAACTTCTAGAAAATAAGGTATTACATTATACCGTCCGTTTTTCATGCTGTGATCTCTTTTCAACTTATCATCTTCTTGGCAATCAAGTGTCTCAGTTTCATCAATTTGTAGCACCACCACGGGTGGATCAATCAATTGGTTCCCATCTTTGATTTGCAAAACCTCTCTAAAATACCCAGCAAAAACCTTGCAATTCTCATCAAGAATATCCTCATAACCCCTCTCCAAGTCTTTCAATTCCAATGTCTGATTGCGACTCATATTCTTCAATAATCTTGTCGGAGACACAACCACTGATTGCTCATCACTATCATAACCTGAAGCCAAATTCTGCGATACATTTGACAAAATTCGCGACCTCTGCTCATTGTACCATTCAAGAATAGGAAGAAAATGAATAAGAAACAGTTCCTCGAACAGAACAGGTGCAATCTCCAATCTCGTCAATGAAGGGTTATTTTGGAATACATCGAAAAGACTAATGGCAGCATCCGCAGAACGGTTAAAGAGGGAATAAATAAGGGATAAAAGGAAGGAAGAAAATGAGTTCTTGGGGTAAGATAAGAGAAGCTTTTCCGCAAGGCGGAGAGACGAAGATTTAATGGAAGGGTTAGTAGTGGTGAGCGCATTTTCAAGAGTTTCAGATGCTAGTTTCAGAGGTTTTAAAGTGACTTCTTCAGAGGGTTGAAGTTTTTGGAGGAAGGTGGAGAAAAGGCGGTGGCGGAGGTCGGATTGTGAGAGTACTTCTGAGAGGTAGGCGGTGGTCTGCTGAAGAATCTCAGCAGGAGCATCGGCAGTAGACATTGCGGTGGCTCCAGGAGTGGTGGCTGGATGTTGGCTCAGGAATTGAGCTGAGTCTCGAGTGGGGTTTATGTCTGGTAATCTTCCCGAGGTTGTTGGACTTAACAGGATTAACCGTCTCATTGCTGGCGCGAAAGCTAAGGGACGGCTCTACAAAATGACCGTTTTGCCCTTCTATTTTCCATCTCCTCCGTTTTGCTTGCATTTATGGGAGTTAGCGTGTAGACCTTTTGTTCAATGACAAAATTTAGTTGTTAAGGTGCTGCTTCAATTCAATTCTAAGGAGGACCGACCAATGATTTTGTATCCTAATTTTAGCTTATGGCAATGATTATTAGTCGAGTTCTATACGTATAAATATTGGGATTATGGTAATAGAAAAGACTTAAATGAATGGCTATAAAAAAAAAAGGGCAAGAAACCTCAACGATTATTAAATTATTGCTTGCGTCAACTTTTAACCATCAAACAATTTTTCGTCACAAATTAGTCATTAAATTAACTAATTAGCACACACGTGATCATTTCATCGATTATTGCTTTAATCTACAAATAGTTAGGACACATGTCAAATGCAAGGGTTTATTTATTCACCATATATATTTTTTTTTATCAAAAACTGTTTCACGATCAAAAGTCGACACGAGTAATAATTTAATGGTCGTTGAGATTTTTTGTCCTAAAAAATATATAGGGTACGCAACAGACCTTGCCATTTAGGACAACAATATTTGGTCCTAAATTAGTTAGATAGTTTCAAGAAATGGTTTCAAGGAAAGATGTACATGTCAACCTAGCAAATATTAGTCATTGGTTACTCAGATAATTTCAGGAGTGAGATTTAAAGAACGTGACTTTTAACAGGCATTCATTGCATGACAAGATTTTAATACTTGCATTGTAGCAACCTTGTTACAAAATGGTATGGACAATGAACTTTACTATGCATATGCCATAATTATCTACTCCACAGCTGCTTGTTGAAGAACTATATTCACTCAAATCCCAAAAAATGGATGAAAAAAAGATTTTTGGGACTCTGGGTTTGTGACAGGAGAAAATCCGGCAGCATGGAAGGTGCAGCAACTGAAAATTCTTCGTGCAAAGTTTTTAGATGGAAAATGAGAGGGCTAATTGGTAAATGAAACAGTTCAAAAATCGAGTACAGTTGTCAACTTATTGCTGGGAACTTGGCTGGACCAGGAAAAATAGGACTACTGGCGTAAACGTCACTGCCGCCCGGGCCGGCTGTGGCCGTCGGCGAACCGTTCAAACATAAAAAAAAAAAAAGTGTAAGATTGTAATGAAGCGTCCAAAAAACAAAAAGGCTCCAATGGGTACACCAACAGAAGCCGAAAACAATGTTGTGGACTTTGTCATTTTGGAGTTTATTCTAGAGGATTAGAGATCCAACCTTGAAAATGTCATTTTCCTAGTTTACGACATCAGCGGTATAATATCCCAATTCAATGAATTTGATTGAGTTTATAGTATGAATCTATCACCCTCAGTGTCCTCCCATCTCTGCCATTTGTTAAGGTAATAGCCTAATAGGTACAGCTGCAATAGATAATGGGAAAAAAAAAAGGGTTTTTTGTGAATGGTATCATTGTTTACAAAATCTTCTTGTTTTCTCAGGCTGTGAAGACTTGATGGCGAAGTAAATGATGAACCACCCTTCCATCTTATTTAATAATGTTGCAATAGTATACAGAGTTGCTGGAACATGAAGCCACAGAATCGGCCAATTAAGCAAATTCTGAAAATTTGTGAATGATGTAGTAAACGGTTCTCGACCAAGTTATACATATGCAATGATGTTGCACTTACGATACAACTTCTTCTGTATTATCATTAAACCATTTATAGAAAGCACTAGATTTTCCACAGGTTGCTAAAAGTGGTATCTCAGGCCCAAATCATTATGTTAATAGCACTTAATATTCGGGATGTTTATATGTTGACGGACAAATTCCGACTGCTTTATCGCGCCAGAGAGAAGTTTGTGAATGGAGGAAGCTTTCAATTCATAAGTCTACAGGAACTAAGGATTCAGTAAAGAAATGAATTTAAGCAAAACAACGACTGCATTATGAGCTGCCAACGGAGTAAAAATTGCAGCTTCATTGGATGTAGAAGAACCACCACCAGCCAGATCTGACAGTGCTCTGATTGTTAGGAAAGGAGTCCTTTGCTGCAGACACACGAGTGCAATTGCTGCACTTTCCATGTCAATTGCTGTTGCATTGAACTTTGTATACACGAATTCGCGATAAGCAGCATTGTCAACGAACACATTTGCACTAATCCCTCTTTCCACCCTAGTCACCAGCGGCCTTCTTGGTAAACAGGTTGAATTCAAGCAGCCTTCGAGCTTTATTCCCTTTTCAAACAAGGCATTTGGCAGAATGAATTTTCAAGTTCCTCAGCTAAAGAAAAATTGAGGATTTAATGAACTGAGTTCAAATTGAGTGAAAGAAATGGAGGCACCTCAAGTTTCTCAGCAAGTGAAAAATATAATTCATTGACAGGAATCCAAAAGGCATGTTGCCTGATTTCAGGATATCCATCTACCGGAAAAACTTCTTCCGGTTGATACCAAACATTGTTTAGAAGGTTTTGGTCTTTCACGTTACTGTTGAAATCAGAGAGCTCGAGGTAGCCAACACTTCTTGTGTAGTCTCCATTGGACTCTAAAGATAGTTTATCTTCAGGTCCATCCCCATACCTCTGCTCAGTTTAAAAATGGTGACAAGGAGAAAGATCATCAGGTAGTAGTTTCGTGCAAAAAGAATATGTTTATAGTTTTCAGGAACGCAATCATTAGCTGGAATTCAGCAAGGAAACTTAAGCCGACAACGACAATTTACGTTGGCAAAAAGATAAATGAATGAGTGAATGAGACAGACAAAGAATTTCTGTGCTACGCGACCTGCAAGCCAGACAGTCTATTTTCTCTTTGACTAGTTCTGAAACGATTGAGAGCGATGGAGGTAATTGAAACCGGTGTGATTTTCTTACCTGCCAGTTCCAGAGGCCCGTATGTGCCCAATACTGTGGGATGGTAACATCACCTATTTGCAATTGAGGATTGGCATTTTCTGCAATACCAATGTGAAGAATTCCCTTGATCTTGAATAGACTTAACAACAACTCTGTGGATACACCTGCATTCAACTATGTAATAAACATTTCAAATGGAATTCTTCATGCTACTCAAACTGAGGAGAAAAAAAAATGCTACTCAAAATGCATTTTGGCCCCCCGGAAATGTGCCCTCTTCTCATTTTGCCTTCAAAGTTATTGTTTTGACTCCAAAAGAAAAAAAAGACATCAACCATGTATTCAACCAGCATACATGGCTCGAGTTTAAAAGGATAATCAGTGTAAATTAGCACTCACCTAGGTATGCATCAGCCACTCAAATCGAATCAACATGAAACAAAACACAGCATATTTCGAGAGGGTAAATTGCAATTTATCCCAAAAGCAATCCAATCAATGAAGATGAAAGAAATTATAAAACAATACCATGCTTAATCCTGTCATGACCACAATGACCCTTTTATTTTCCACCTTCCCAATCCGAAACCTTCTTCCTGTTGGAAACAACGAACAAATGCATCATCATCTGCTAACTATATACAGTGATGAAGAATTTAGAGTTGGCTGATATGAATGACTTGTCCAGCATCAGATCAAATTCACGTACCACCAAGTAAAACAAAATTTATGTCTCCCTCGCTACTTTCCATAAAAGGTTGAAACATTAGTTAGCTCGGAGAATTTGTCAGCTTGTATATTTCGTTACTCCAGCAGGAAAAATGAAACTAAGTTACTAACTAAGTTCAATCAAGATCACGGGAATGTTGTATTACCAGCAACATCAATGTAAGGAAGCTTGTCGTGCGGGACAAAACTTGGAGATTGGAGAAGAGGGCTCATCTCAAAACTGTTTGGGACTACAATGCCCAAGTATGGACCCTCCTGGTTAACTCTCCTGATGTTTGCCCATGCATAATCGGAAACTGCAGCATTTGCTGATCGAATAACATTAACACTTGCTAATATCACAAGCCATTCCAGCAGGAACATGACTAACATAAAAGGTCTGTACATCTTCTACTCTCAGCCCAAGGATTCCTGAAGGAGAAGAGCTTGTTCATATTTGTACTAGCTAGTAGAAGTCTTGGGTCGTTGATAATTGAATGGCGGACCCTAAAGCCTAGCAGGAATAATCAAATCAAAACATGGTGCCCCACGGAAGAAAAAAGAGCCAGACAAAGAGATTCTTACAATGCTAACTGCCAATTAATTAGCCAGTTCGATACTAGCATAAATAATTTGGCAGTATAGCTACAAAAAGCAATAGGAAGTTGATCATCTTTTACTTTGTTTCTGTATTATGTGTCGGTATAGGATATTATTTTCCTTAATAAGCTGATTGCACTGATAATGCAATTCAAAAGTTGATCGAAATCCTGTCAATCACCAATCAAGAAGTCTGATTGAGTGAATCCGCTTTGGGAGTCAAAACTGATGTCGTGATTATCAATCACAAATTCACAATAATGCACTACTACATAGACTTCACGCCTTGACGAGTTGGCCGCAGTACCCGGTTCATTTAAAAATTAAAAGACCACGTTGAATGGTGGGAACACGGAAATTTTCCTGATTACGTGAACTCATTAATTCCTTTTCTAAAAGGAAAAAATCTTTTTGGACTAAGGGTGCATTTGATAAAACTGAAATCTGAAATTTGAATCCATTAATTTATTGAATTGTTAAGTATTAAATTAAATACATTTGAGTATATATTACATTTAGTGACGGATAAATAGTTTATCACTTATTTTTGAGAGTTTACCTAGAAAATTCAGTGTCTTTTATTTAATTCATATGTTCAGTTTTTTGTTGTCAAACAAATCTGAACATATTGACATCTGAATTCATTAAGTTTAAGTTTTGAATTGGATTATCCAACAGGGCCTTAGTCACGTCAAAAAAATTACTTTGGTTTTTTAACCCAATCCTTATACACCCGCCGCCTTCCAAAAA